TTTGTCATTTTGAAAAACTGTTTCTGAAAATAGAAAACTTGAAAACGCGTTTACTTTGAAATTTTGAGAATCTTTTTTTTATAATATTTTATTCAATAAATTTTACTAGTTTAATGTTAATTGATTGAAGAAAAAATTAATGGGGTAACATTGCTAGTTCTCAATCATAAGGCTCGGGATCAACATGTACGATTTTTTGGCATCAACATTGCTAGTTCTCAATCATAACTCTCACCTTACTACAACTTACCCAGCTAAACAAAGCCATGCCCAAATCCATAACACGGTTTGCCCATTAAACTCGTAAGCCCTTCCACATTCATAGATGGCTGCTCCAACGTCGATGCACAACCACACCCAATCTAACGTGCAATTACCGTCCAACTACTCCCAGTAACATCAGCTATATCACCAGAATCAATGACCAAAGTAGGCTACCTAAAAATCTAAAAATAGCCGGAATCTCCACTGTCGGCCACCAATATGATCAGAACTTACCACCGATCGAGTCTACACACCCAAACGACCCCAACCATGCCATCAATTTGGACCAAACAACTAATTTCAGTGCTGGATTAAACCCAAAAATTCTCCAGCTTGCGACGGACACGACTGAGTCATCCCATTTTACTGATTCCGGCTCCGTCCGGACGAGCCTAAGAGTCAGACCACCTGGGTTGGGTGTGCCCTCACTTGGCGCACCTAGCCCAGCAATGGGTCACCCTTAATTTGTCCCTCGTCAACTTGATTTTGCCTCAAAAATCTCACACAGGCGCGAACACGGGAACATAGAATTTGCACGAGGAATTGTTGAATAGCGTTTTAGTTAGGGCATGTTGGTTTTTAGAAACAAGGAGATTGAGGAGGGGGGATGGAGGGTTTTGGGGCGGAGGACGACGGTAGAGGGGAGGATGCAGAGGAGACTGGAGAGAGTGGGAGTAAAAAAAAATTCGAATTACAGTAAAATGGATTCAAACTCATGACCTGTAAGAAATCTGAGCCTCTCCCAACTAAGCTGGCACACTGTTTTTAAAAAAAAGCCATTTTCCGCGTTTTTGAAGGATTTCAATAGTTTCAACTGAAAATGCCAAAACGACTTTTTCATCATTTTCCGTTTTGTTTGTAAAATTTTAACTCA